GAATGGATGGATGGATAAATAGGTGAATGGATGAATGAATAGATAGATAGATAGATAGTTGAATGAATGGATAGATAGATAGATTGTTGAATGAATGGATAGATAGATAGATGGATAGATGAATGAATAGATAGATAAATAAATGGGTGAATGAATGGATGGATAGATAGGTGAATGGATGAATAGATAGATATATAGCTGGATGAATAGATAGATAGATGGATGGATGGATAGATAGATGAATAGATGAATAGATATATAGATAAATGAATGGATGAATGAATAGATAGATGGATGGATATTTAGATAGATAGGTAGATAGATGGATGGATGGATAGAATTACAGGGTGACACACATAGGTGGCAGTGTGGCGTAGTGGCTATCGTGATGTCATGGTATGTGTCCCGCTGGGGTGCTGTTGAGATGCGTTGCGACGAGGTTGCAAGCTCGATCCACTTCTGTCTGGATGAGAATAGCTTTTTGGAAAGAAAGCAAGGACATGTGAAATGCAATGGACACGTAAAGTCTACTCATGCGATTGTGGGCAAAATTCAGACAACCAGTCGCCTTACCACTTTACATGAAATTGGGTAAATACATCTCGTGCATCTGATCTACAGACAGATGGACAGATGGACAGACAAAATGACGTATAGATAAACTGACAGACGGATTGGCCGAAGATTTGAAGACATATGAAGAGCCTGTATGCATTTGTCTGCCATTGGCGACTGGAGCATTTGCGAACACCGAGTTTGTGGGGTTCGAACAAGGCCCATTTTTGACGGATCCGAAGAGAGCATGTCGAGCACTGTTTTGACGCAACCAATGTTGCCTCAGCCCCAGCAACTGAGCATGCAAGTCCGTTCAAACAACGACACAGCCAAACATGGCAAACCGGACATGGCGCCGAGTTGAAAGTGCGCTTTGTTGTTGTCCACTTCTCTTCACCCACTTCTGTCAACAATTTGTTTTCTGACCCTCTTCCAATCAAACCGCCGGTACCACTTGAAGACGCTTGCTGTCAGCTGTTCCGTCACTTGGTACATTCTCGTGTCTTCTGCTTCACC